GAGAGAGAGAGAGAGAGAGCACTCTGGTAGCGTGGTGGTTACAAATTGGGCTGTGAACCGCAAGGTCAGCAGTTCAAAACTACCAGCTGCTCCACGGGAGAAAGACGAGGCTTTCTGCTCCCATAAAGATTTACAGCCTTGGAAACCCTGTGCAGGGTCGCTATGGGTAGGAACCAACTCGACGATACATAACAACAATGTTGTTTTTGTTGTTAAGTGCCATTGACAATAACAACATATATACATACATATAGTCCTGTGGTGCTGTAAGATAAGCACTAGACTGCTATCCTCAAGGTGAGCGGTTCAAACCCACCAGCTGCTCCTCAGAACCCTATACAAGATCACTATGAGTCGGAATGGACTCCATGTCACTGAACTAAATATATGTTCTTGTTGTGATTATGTGCAATTGAGTCCATTCTGACTCATACAGATCCTGTACAGGGTTTCCAAGGAGTGGCTGGTGGGTTTGAACTGCCAGCCTTGCGATTCAAACCAACCTTGTGGTCCAGTGTTTCTTCTACAGCACCACACCAGAACTGTATATACACAGCTGTTGTTAGGTGTCATCAAGTTGGTTCTAATTCACAGCAACCCTGTATATGGTTTTTGAAAAGTAACTGCTGGGTTTGAACTTCTGCCTTTGTGATTAGCAGTTAAGTCTCTGGTAGCGTAGTGATTATGAATCGGGCTGCTAACCCCAGGGTCAGCAGTTTGAAACTACCAACTGTTCTGCAGGAGAAAGATGATGCTTTCAGCTCCCTTAAAGATTTACAGCCTGGGAAACCCTGTGCAGGGTTGCTATGAGTCAGAACAGACCTAATGGCACATAACAACAATAACAACCTACAATGTCACACCAGGACTCCATATATGTATCAAGATATACTCACATACAGTGAAATATATATATATATATATATATATATATATATATTCACTTTAGCTTAGCTTTTTGGGTTTTTTTGAAAAAACACTCAGGCATATATAATAATTTACACCACCAAAGGGCACATTCTGCAAGTCTGACTCCTGGCTGCCAGCTTTCAGTCCCTCTATTTCCATGAATCTAGGGTCCTCAGCTGCTCCTCTCAATGTCCCCATCTCTGCCTCCATCTCTGGTGTCACTGCTTCTCTGGATAACGTCTCACGTTCTGCGTGTGCTCTTCTCCCTTCATGGTCCTAGGGTTCTTTGTTTCTGGACTATAAGATTAACTATCCCATCCACTGTTTTTGTTACAAAACTTCTACCTTTACTATTGTGACAGTTGCAATTAGTCATGATAACAATTACTCACTATTGAATCATAAGAATATTATCCCCATTTCTTTTATCCAGACTCATCTAGACAAGATGAAAACTGTTCAGTGAGGACTCTTTCTTCCACCACACACTCTTAAACTAAACTCCCTCTTGAAACCTTGTAAGCCAGTCACTTTGTGTCTCCATTGCCCCCTCATTTTAGGTAGCCAATGTTTAAGTTGCCCGTCCCTATCTACCCTATGTACAGAGGTACACTGATACTTCATGTGAAGACTCCTTCCATCTCTGTTGGTATTTAGAGTTACTACCTCCATGGGTATAGGTCAAGTTCATCAAATTGTAGCAATTCACCTTTATTTCCTTTATCATTTTTTTTTTTAATCTTTCACTATTCAGGTTATGATTTTCAAGCCATCGAGGCTAGGTCAAATGGGTACTATCTGCAAGTTTGGGTGTTCTTGTGTGTCTCCCCTCACTTCATATCAGCTGGATGCTTCACTCTCAGTTCTGGCTCTCTGTGGGTAAGTCCTTGTCCATGGGCTCAAGTGTCCTCATCCCTCACCACACTTTGGACCAACCAGCCCTTCCTCTTCTCTCTCTCATCTCCAGGTCAACCGGATTCAATAGACTGGGGTTGAACTCAGCACATTTCTTCATTGCTGCCTTTCCCCCTCTTCCTCCTCTTGTGGTCACCAACAAGCGTACATGCCTGCTCATGTGTTCCTTTGAGTTTCAGTTTTGGAGTCAAACCCACTTTCAAGCCACTCCTTGGAAACCCTGTACAAGGTCACTGTGAGTTGGAACCGACTCAACGACACCTAACAATACATCTATTGTTGTTGTCTTTACAACAACAGCAAGAACAAAAGTAAAGAAGAAAGTGCATGAGGGCCGATGGGAGTGAGGCAGAGCAGGGCAGGTGCTAATGCTCCTGGCAGGCCCTGGATTCAAACCTCAGGCCTCAAAGCCTACCCAATGGCCACGCCTCCTCATTTCCATGGGGTGTGGCATGCAGATCCCTAGTTGGCTGGCTATGCTCATGACTGCGGATGAGAATTCAACACGAGGTTCAGGGACAGGCTGAGCACTGACCTCCCTATCCTGGAACAATCTACAGCAAATGGGGCAGAAGTCTCAAGAGGGTCCTGGAGTAAGAAAACATTCCTTTCCAAGCTGCATAATCCCTAAGAGAGCATGCAGACATGTGTACACCCACAGCCATATGTATACATACACATGATCATGTGCATATGTACAGGAACCTGTGTGTAATTCTTCACCCATACCTTCTAGGAGAGCTAAGTCCAAACAGTTGATGTCCGCAAGCTCCTTGGGTGCTGGAGCCAAACCTTACCTGGGCCTCCTGTCCACCGCGGCGAGGCATTTGTGCTGGGAGGGGACAGCTTTCCATTTCTTCGCTTCCATCACAAGAGCTTCTGCATCCACCAAGCCAAAGCCATACAGATGGCTAACTGGAAAGACAGGGGCTTCAGACCAGGCCTGCCTCTATTCTCTTCGGGAAGAGGGCAAGGCTGGGCTCCGCACTCTGTTGTGCTCCCACACCAGTTTAGGGACCAGCAGACCCTATTGACAGTTCTCACACCCTCTGCTGAGGGAGCACTCCTTGGCAGGACCAATGTGCCAAGGGCTGCTTGTCCAAGCTGCTGTATTTTCTCTCTGAGCTAAACTCCTTCCCTGTAGGACTAAGGGTCAGGAGAAGAAGTGTGGAGAGGGTTAGCTGCTATTGGGTCAGCTCCTGGGTCATGGAGATCTCATGCACAACAGAATGAAACCTTGCCCAGTCAAGTTTGATCCCTATGACTGGCTGTGACTGGACCATTGTAATCCATAGGGTTTTAGCAAATAGATCACCAGGTCTTTCTTCCTAGTGTCATAGTTTATAAACTCTTCTGAACCTATTCCACATCATAGCGACACTTAAGTCTCCACTGACTGATGGGTAGTGACAGTGCAGGAGGTGTTGCAGACTGCAGGTATTGGGGTGTTGAGGACCAGTGTCATGGACGAAAATCCAGCACGTGGCTGAACTCAGACTTGCTGGCCAGAGACCCTGTGGGCTCAAGGAAGTAACCTCCGGACGTCCCGGATTCATTGGCTTTTATGAACTCACTGTGGGGCTAGCTCTGTATAATTCTCTTTAGCCCTATTAATTCACTCTATGCTTTGAACCCCTGTAACTGTAGCCTCTGAGAAAATGTTTTTTTAATGTGTCTCTCTCAATGTCTCCACTATATTGGCAGTGCTTAAGGTGTTCTGGGAACAAATCTCTCTGAGGAACAGACTCTGGCCACTGGGGCAAGCTTGTCCAAACTGTTCTTTATCAAATTATTTAGTTATGTTTGATATTAACTTAATACATGAGCCCTTGATACCCATGGTCAAATATTAAACTGCTCCTAAAGCCGAGACTGTAAAAAGCTCCAAAAACAAGTTTGCTGGGAAGTTCCAAAAGCCAAGTTTCCCCAAGGTGTAGTCTGGGGTTTTGTCCTAAGAATAATAGGTGTCTGCCTTCTCAGATAGCCCCCAGGTGCAAAACCATTCAGCTAGGCATCTTGCTTTCTCTTGCAAATCTCAGCCAGGCAGCTGACTCAGCGGGACTCCTCCCAATCCTTTTCACCTTCCCCCATCCGAGATTAGGTGCTATAGGTATGTTAATTAGGCTTGAGAAACCAAGTTGCTGCCCTGGGATTCGAACCTGAAAAGTGCCATGTAATAATTGCTTGAATTTCTGGAAAATTAAGGATGTTAGATTATCAAGACAATTTGTGATGTATGTTCTAGAATTTGATTCCTGTAAATCATTGTGTCCTGTGTTGAACGATTAATCACATTTCACTTCTGTACCCCATCTTAACAAACCCTGCCTTCCTTTGTGTAAAGCTCCTCCCCGAAATAAAACGGGGGCGCAGACAGAAGCCCGCGTGCCTGCATGCGTTACGACTGGCATGCGAGGCTTTACAGCTGGCAAGGCATGCGTTAAGGTTTGCAGGGCAGTGCTTTACTGCCTGCAGGGGCCATGATGCCGGTAGTCCAGGGTCTGCCCGCCAGTGTCACATCCACTCTGGTTTCGGGGTGTTTTGTGTTCTCTCTCTTTGCGTCTTTGTGTGTATTCTTTCTCTATCTCTGTCACCGCCAGATCTTCCAACTTCTTGAACCAAACCCCTTTGTCGAGGCCGGTCCTCGTCAAGGAGGTGCATTTATCAGGAGCTGAATCCAGGGCTCCCGCATGGAAGGTGAGAACTCAACCACTAAAGCACCACTGACCAGAGAGGGTCTTGTTGTTAGGTGCCATCAAGTTGGTTCCAACTCATAGTGACACTATGCATAACAGAACATTGCCAGGTCCTGTGCCAATCATTGCTACACTTCAGCCCATTACTGCTACCACTGTGCTGATCCATCTCATTGGGGTCTTCCTCTTTTTAACTGATCCTATACTTTACCAAGCATGATGGCCTTCTCTAGGGGCTAGTTCCTCCTGAGGATATGTCCAAAGTATGAGAGACAAAGTCTGGCCTTGCTGGATTCCAAGGAGCACTCTGGTTGTACTTCTTCCAACACAGATCTGTTAATTCTTCTGGAAGTTCATGGTCCTTTTAATATTCTCCTCTAATTTTTGCATCAATTTTTTTATGGTCTTCCTTATTTATTGTCTAACTTTCACATGCATATGACGCCATTGAAAATGCCATGGGTTGGGTTAAGCACTCTTTAGTCCTCAAACTGACATCTTTGCTCTTGAACACTTTAAAAAGGTCTTGCGCAGATTTGCCAAATGCAGTATGTCCTTTGATTTCTTGACTGCTGCTATGAGTGTTTATATGTAATGAAGGCAAGCAAAATGAAGTCTTTGACAGCTTCAATCTTTTCTCCATGTATCATCGTGTTATTTATTAGTTCAATGGTAAGGATTTTTGTTTTCTTTACATTGCAACCTATAGTAAAGGCTGTGGTCATTGATCTTCATCAGTAAGTATTTTAAACAAGGTTAGCTTGTCATGATACACAAGTCGAAAGCTTTTGCAAAGTCATTAAAGCACAGTTAAACATCTTTTGGTTATTCTCTGCTTTCAGCCAAGATCCATCTTATGGCAGCAATGATAGCCCTTGTTCTATGTCCTTGTTTGAATTTGGCTTAAATCTCTGGCAGTTCCCTATCGATGTACTGTTGCAGCCATTTTTTTAATTATCCTTATCAAAAATTGTCTTGCATATGATATTAATGATACTGTCCAGTGATTTCCACATTCCACTGGTCACCTCTCTTTGCAATGGGCACAAGTATGAATCTTTTCCAGTCAGTAGCTGTATTCCAGATTTCTTGACATCGATGCCTCCAGTGCCACATTAGTTTGTTGAAAGATTTCAATTTTTTTCCATCAATTCCAAGAGCCTTGTTCTTTGCCAGTGTCTTCAGTGCACCTTGGTGTTCCTCCTTTAGGATCCTTGACTCTTGGTCATATGGTACGTACTGAAATTGTTAAACATAGACCGTTTCTTTTTGGTATCGTGACTCTATATTCCTTCCATATTCTCTTGATGTTTTCTGAATCATTCAAAAATTTTCCCATAGAATTTTTCAATATTCCAAGTGGAGACTTGAATTTTTTCTTCAGTCTTTTCAGTTCTAATGCCGGGTCTTTGCACAGTCCATTATAATGCTTGACTTTGTCTTTGCAAGTCAAAGTCAGCTGGCCTTCGGGATTTTCTGTTCAGCTTTTTACCTCATTTATCCTATTTGCTCTAGCATCTCTACACTACAGAACAATTTTCAGAGTCTCTTCTGACATCCATTCTGGTCTTTTCTTGTCATCTTCTTAAAGATCTTTTGCTTTCTTCTTGTATGATGTTCTTGATGTCATCTCACAGCTCTCTCATCTTTGGTCATTCATTAAATCTGTTCTTCAGATGTTCTCTAAATTCAGTTGGGATGTGTTCAAGGTTATAATTGGGCTCCTACAGACTTATTTGCATTTTCTTCAGCATCAGCCTAACAATTGATGGTCTGTTCCACAATCTGTCCCTGGCCTTCTTTTGGCTGATGATATGGCACTTTCCTGCCGTCTCTTTCCACAGATGTAGTCAATTTGTTTTCTGTGTATTTTATCAGGTGAGGTCCACGTGCACAGTCATCTATGATGTTGTTTTAAAAAGGTATTTGCAAATGCATAAGGTTTTCAGTGGCTACACCTTCAGAACTAGTTGGTCTCCTTCCTTAGTCTGGAAGCTCAGCTGAAACGTGTGCATGATGGGTGCCACGCTGGGATTTAAAATACCTGTGGCAGAGCTTCTAGCATCACAGCCACGTGCAAACCACCAGAGTCTGAGACACTAACATATAAGTGGTGGGGAGAGGGTCTTGCACTGCCTTTTAGGAGATGCAGACAGGTTTCCTTACATTAGAGGGAGTTTTTGCCACTTGCAATTCCTGATTCTTAAAATAGAATAGAAAAAACAAAACCTGAGAGCCTCTTGGTCTATGAGACCACAGAGAATGAGATACACAAGAAAATAAGTTTGTGTCTATCTTTTTTGCCATCTTCTTTTCCTGATGCATTCCCAGGATGTTTGGAGAAAGCACATCATTAACGCAAAGACAGTGAATGCATGTGAACTTGCCTGATCCAATGTTTAATTTGGCCACAGCAGGAGAATTTCAAAGTTGAATTTAATCAGCAGGGTCAAGAACCAGATACAATCTATCTTCCTATTTAATTAGGCCAAAACTGAAATGAAGCTCAGCTCTTGTTACAGCCCACTACCACCACCACCATCCCTGCAATATACAGGATCATTAGACCCATCTATGGCCTCCCTGTGAAAAGGAATGGCCTTTGGAACTGACTATAATAATACTTGACCTATAATTTACAATACTGGTTTCAGGTATGGGATCAAAATAGTTGGATCTGGGCTTCAGAAAAGGGAAAAAATACTCTCCCTAACATACCATGGATGAAGATAAATCTCCTTCAATATCTCCGGTAAGAAGCCAAACAAACAGAACCAGTGGCAAAGACCTATAGTTACTGACCACATTTTTCTACCAGTTCCAGGGACGCTTGAGTAGGCAGGCTGTAAGACATGACTGAGGGTTGATCTCATGGCACAAGGGTCTACATCAAGCAGGACTAGGGATGGGGGCCCTGCTGCCTGGATCATACCCAGATACAGCTACCCATTGAGATACTCTCACAACACAGGAGCTTGCTGACAGAAGTTTTATAGTTAGAAAGTACCTTACACAACTACCTCAACATCTTCATTGCACACACAAGGAACTAAAAGCTAGTTTTAAACATCACAGCACTATTCAGGGAAAGAGTGAAGCTGCCCTTAAGTGGCACACAAGCAAATGTTGCTTTTCATCATTCTGGTTTGTTTTCGTGTGCATTAGAAACAACATCACTAACCATCAGACTCATGAGTAAATAGGTGTAATACAATTTCCTTTTAAGATACATTTCTCTAAGTTAAAAAATGTGGTTGGTAAGCAGTAAGTGGCAAATGGCATGGAGCTCAGGAAACCTGGACTCTAAAGACTTCCAGTTTCTTTCTTAATGCTCAAGCAAGGCTTCAGGGTATTTTTGTATTCTTTAAATTTTATTTATTTTCCTGTTGCTGAACAGGGAAATTGTCTTAAGTTTCTGCATTCTGGTGATACACAACTAATATGATTTGGGGATCTTTTTTTGGGGGTAGATTCCTACTACCCCTTAGTATGGGTTCTACCAGGTCCCTGAGGGCTAGGCAGTGTGTGGTGACATGCCGGTCCCTCCCAGACCACCGCACCTTTGTGACCAGCGCCGTTGACTTTCCAGTCGTTTGCCTTCAGGTGGGCTGGCCTGGATGTCTTCACCAGTAGGTGCTGGACGTCTCTCCAGGTTAACTGGTTGCTGTGATGATACAATGTTAGACTGGTCAGACAGTGACAACCATATGTGCCCATCCGAGATGGCGCATGGGGAGGCTGCCCTCTAGTCAGGACTCGAGTGGATCCCTTTGGCCCCTGGCTGCATTCCTTAGCAGTGGCTTCTTTCACAACCTCTTTGTACAGGATAGTTTCCAGCAATTAAATCTTGAAATAAAATAGTACAATGGAGGGCCTGAAATCGCCAACCATTAAAAACCAATTCTTGTTGCCAAGCTTTGCTGTCATTTGGACAAGAAAGTTTGGAAGTATAAAGAACGGGATTTTTAACATTCTTGAAAATATTTATGAAATATCTAGGAAGCTATTCTCCATTCTATGTGCTCCAAGGGGGTAATGGCTAAGTGCACAGGTGTTGACTGAAAGGTCATTGGTTAGAACCCAGCATCACTCTGCACCAGAAAAGACTTGAGGATCTGCTTCCATAAAGATGACAGAAAGGAAACCCTAAGGGGTATTTCTACTCTCGGTAACAGGATTTGACTTAATGGCACATGGTCACAATAACAACATTCTTCACTATAATGAAAAGATGCTACGGTGCACAGAGGAATGCTTGGACCACAGTCTGACCAGACCCTGCACACTTCCAGCTGGCCTCCTTGCCATCTCCCAACCTCCTTTCATCCATCCAATTCCCAGGCCTTTGCCTGATACAGGTTGACCACCATTGTCTTCTAATTCACCATCCTTACTGCAAGCTTCCAGGCCACCCTTATGTCTACAGGAGGATTCTGGAGCCCTGAGCAGCTAAAAGCCTTGCACTTGGTCAAGGAACAGTCAAGGGCATGGGCTTTAGGGTTAAGTCGGAACAGATGTGTGGCTACACCACCTGTGAGTGTGTGATCTCAGTACGTGAGTCAGTGGGGCCCACAGAGTGAGGGAGGAAGGCTTGGAATTTATGGGCCATGGAGACTGGGCTTTGACTAGGACAGACAGGGCACATTTCATTGTGAGGAAATCCTTTTTTTTTTTTTCTCTAGCAATAAAACCACAAATATTATTGTATGAAAAATACAATTAAGAAATGGTTTTAAAATGTGTTTTTTTGCCTTTTTTTTTAAATTGGTAAGGAGTCCCAAGACTGCCCCAAATGATAGGACCAGTTTTTGACAATTCTTACACATGAAGGTCTTTCTTCATTCTCATTACATACTGGCTACAGACCCTCCTGGCATCTTCTGGTAGTTTCTCCACCCAGTTTCCTTCCACAAGTGGACAGATCTAGAATGCAACTCTGAACACATAAGCAGCTAGCTAAACGCTGAGATGTGTTAACTGCAATCTCCAAATCTGTAACACTAGACCTTGAGGCTCCCTGGATATAATTTGTTCCTTACGTGTCCACTTCTAGGGGAACGTGGTGACTCCATACGATAAGCCCTGGACTGAAAACCACAAGGTCTGTGGTTCAAGCCCACCAGCTACTTGGCTGAAGAAAGTTGAGGCTTTCTGCTCCTGCAAAGATATAATAAGCCTCAGAAACCCTATGTGGGGTTGCTGTGAGTCCATACCGACTAGAAGGCACTTCAGAATAACAACAGGTTTACAATGCTATAAGCTGTTTTCAAAAGAGGTTAACTGGTTTGGCCACCTGTAAATCCTGAGTCACCAAGAGAGTAACTATCAGGGCTTCCTTGTGGCCACAAGGCTAACGTTACTTAGGCAATGTGGCATGAAGCAGGATTTGTTTTCTGCTTAGTTTTAAGTAACAGAATTCCTTGCATATTTCCAATCAGGATGGGAAAAATACAGAACAATGAATCATTAAATATGTGAATGCAACTTTCCACACAAGTAACTGATTATTTAGACTTTTCAAAAAAGCCCCAGGACACAGAAGCCAATGTCCTGCAAATGCAAATGATCCAGCTGTTCTTTTGTAGCATTTGAGCTGTGCTCCTGCCTTCTGCAAATCAACATGCAAACACACATAATTACAAGTATCTAAGCTTCTTAAATATTTGAATATTCTTTATGAAACATTTGAAACTTCAGCTGTGACCAATGGCTACAGCAAATGGCCAGGTTGTGGAATTTACTTTGACCTTTATGCCTAGTTTACAGTTAACTTTTATTTTCTTTGACCCATCCACACAGTAACAACTTGGGAGTTCTCATTTGGCTTACAACAGACAAAACATCAACATTTTATTAGCAATTTATCAATGAAAGTTAGCCAAGGGAAGCTTTCAGCAGGACTGGTGTGCACTGCAGAATGAGAAGCAGGTGTCCAGCCCCATATGGTCTGAAAAGGGCAGGAGACTGTGGGCATCAGTCACTAAAAGAAGGGAGAGGAGTGGGACTTACTTTGCTTCTAAAGCCAAGGCGATGATGCCCGCCACCATGGGGGCTGAGACTGAGGTCCCTGTGTGGCCATCGGTGCAGCGCTGACGCAGGTCCGTGGTGACCTGGGCAAGAGGACGATGGGAGAGAGGCTAGCTCAGCTCTTAGGAGGCTCAGCAGTTACTCAAGGTGCTGCTCAGCGGCCAGAACAGGTATTGCACAAACACATCTTAGCAAACACAGGCTTCAGAAATAACTGGAACTCTCTGCTAAACTGCTTTGCTCTCATAAGCAAGATGTGAGCCACCAGCTGGCAAGAACGTAATTACTCGGCATGAACTTTGAGAACAGATAATGTCATTTCATCAAAACCATAGAAGTGCAAGCCCAGGAATGACGGCGAAATCAAGATGATACAAAGAAGGTTCTCCAAATCCTCCAGGGTCTCCTGGCATTGTACTTTCCTCACTATTGCCAGGAGAGTCACCACGCACTAAACCATCTGGCAGCCTTCACGCATGATCCCTTTGCAACCCTCATGACCTTAGAGCAGCTAGAAATGTATTGAGTGACCCCAAAGAGCATTTCTGCCTTGGCTACAGGGTTACAGACCAGGTTCTTCAATAGAAAGAGTTGTCTTAAGCTGGCAAGTTTGTGGCAATTTGCTATAGTGATTAGTGGGTGGTTGTGTGCTGTGGAGTCATTTCTGACTCACAGTGAACCTGTACAAGGTTTCCAAGGCTGTAAATCATTATGGGAGAAGAAAGCCTCATCTTTTCCTTTCGTAGCAGCTGGCAGATTTGAACTACTGACCTTATAGTTAGCAACGCAGTTCTCATAATCTACTATGCTGCCAGGGCTCCATAATTTGTTACAGTACCAGCAGGAAACCAATATATTCACTATTAGGGGCTGAATCGTGTCCTCCAAGAAAAGTGTTGTAACCCTTTACTTCTATACCTGTGGATGGAGTCCTGGTGAGGTGCTGTGGGTTAATGCGCTGGACTGCAGTATTGATTTGAATGTCAAGGTCGGTGATTCAAGTTCACCAGCTGCTCCTCAGAAATCCTATAGAGGGTCACTATGGGTCTTACATGTGAGGGCCTTTCTTCATTCCCATTATACATTGGCTACAGATCCTCTTTGCACTTAACATATCTGTGGTTATAATCCCATTGGAGAATGGGTTGTCTCGGCTATGTTAATGAAGTGTGAGGAGTGTAGGGAGTCTTCAGTAAGTCCCTTGTGAGATAATGGAACCACTAACCAAGCAGAAAAGGTGGAAGAGAGATGTCAAGCCACAGAAAGATTGCCAAGAATAAAAGCTTAATGCGATCAGGATCTTCCTCCAGAGTTGGCAGGGAGACAGCTTCTCCTAGAACCAGCAATCTGAGTTTGGACTTCTAGCCTCCGAGATGGATTGGTACAATGGCAGCAGTGATGGGCTCAAATGCAACAATGATTGTGAGGTTGGCGCAGGACCATTCAATGTTTTGTTCTATTGTGCATAGGGTCACTATTAGTTGGTACCAACTCAATGGCTCCTAACAACAACAACAATACCAACAACAAACTGTGAGAGAATACATTTCTAATTTTAAAAGCCTCCTACTTGTGGTATTTCTGTATGGCAACACTAGACTACTAAGACAGAATTTTGTACCAGCTGGAACAGATATTTGAAATGTGAAAGTGATTTTGGAATTGAAAGTTTACAGAGCAAATAAGTTTTCCATTCAACAATTTATGCAGCACATTTTGTGTCTCAACAGTTGTCATCATTTCAATGTGACAGGACTCTTCCCTGTTTCTACTTGTCCATCTTTCCTGCCCCTTCCTGACTTCTGAACTCGGTTTTTGGACAAATGTTGCTCTTTGGATCACATGTGGTTGATTATTCTGAGGAACATGTTCCTCACAGGTACTACTCTTTCCTTTACTGGGCTATTGTGTGGCTGAGAGGTGACTGCTGGGTTTGAAGGGTGACTTGAGGGTTCCAGCAGTCTATCAGACTAGGAAGCCTGTTTTGTTTTGTTTTTATGATTTTGAATTTTGTTCTACATTTTTATCCTATTCTGTCCAGGCCTTCTACTGTGATCCTGATCACAGTTGTTGGTAGCTGGACACCATCAAGTTATTTTCGTCTCAGCCTAGAGGAGGCTGTGGTTTGTGTGATCCATCAGTCCTTTGGACTATTTATTTCCTTGAATCTCTGAATTTCTTCTCTCTTCTTTGCTCCAGTGGGAAAAGACCAATAGTTCTATCTTAGATGGTCACTCACAAGCTTATAAGACCCTACTCACTACTCAATAAAGTAGGATGTAGAACATTTTGTTAAAATGAACTACATTATGCTGATTGAACTAGGGGTCTCCCAAGACCATGATGCTAAGTCTTCAAGGCCAGTGACTCAGACCCTCAATGTGTTTGGATATAGCTAAGTTTGCATAACTTTGCCCCTCGTAATGCTCTATTATACACCTGGACACATTTGTAGGACACACAAATACCTATGTAGAAATAATCTCTGCCATATGCACATATGCTTGTGGGTGTGCTCCTGTGTGTACCACACACCTGGTTTAGCTTACACATTTACATATGTATTCACTTGTAAATGCCTGTTTGCTATTAGTGCTATTGAAAGGCTGCATATTTACCATTGTTGCCTTTTATTCTTGTATGCCTCCCGGTGTTTTCCTTGGTACTAAGCTTCCCCTTTTTGTATACACTCACTTCACCCAAGTTAACACGCGTCTATTACCTAATGAAATTCCCTCCTTCACCCTCCCATCCCAGGTGACTGACCATCAAAGAATGTTTCTTTCTGTGCATAAACCTTTTCTTGACTTTTAATAAGAGTAGTTTCATACATGGAATGTGGTGGCTCATACAATAAGCACTGGACTGCAAACTACAAAGTACATGATTCAAGCCTGCCAGCTGCTCCACAGAAGATTAAAATAACTGTAGAAACCCTAAATAGTGTCACTACAAGTCAGAACCAACTTGAAGCACTTAACAACAACAGTCTCATGCAATATTTGTCCTTTTGTAATTGACTTATTGCACTCAGCATAATTCATAATTTGCCCTCCAAATTCATCCATGTTGTGAGATATTTTGCAGATTCATTTTTCTTTTGTAACAGGCAGACAAAGGCTTATTTTAATGAATGACTGAGCTCTATAATTGCCCAGGCCACTATGTACAGACAAGAGCAAAGGAGCACTATTTCTTGGTCTCTTCCTCCTTGGGCACAGTTTTGATAATCTCTTCTTTCTTGTCCTAGAGCCTCTCATCACAGCGCTTGCATGCTTCCTTAGTCTTAAACCTCGGGTCCTCAGCCTGATCAGCCAGGAGCTTCTTGAGGGTCTTGTCTGCCTTCAGCTTGTGGATGTGTTCCAAGAGACTGCTCCCATTCTTAAACATGTTCCCTTTTAGTTTCAGGTACAGGCTGGGGTACATGTGGTGGTCAATCTTAGATTCATAGCATCTCTGAGCAGTGGCACAGAACTCTCATCCTCCTCCACCCAAGTCACCTTTTCGGGCATTTGAGCACTGGCTGTACCCTTTTGCTTACCTATGCTCATGTGCCTGCCTTTCTGGCAAGCTAAGGCATCTGTCTAGCATCGAATCCGAGAATGGACAGTAACAGGCTTGCAGATCATAAGGCCACCTTTGATCAATTTCTGGATTTTCTGACAGGAGTTGACATTGGCAATTTCATTGGACTCACTGGGGTCCAACCAGGTCTTCCTTTTACCACAGCGGAGAACACTGGAGGCAAGCCACTTGTGAAGTCTAAGCAGACTCATGCAGTGGCTGCAGTGACCAAAGGCTCATCAATGATTTTTTAATGCTGCATAGTATTCTATTGGGTGTATGTACCGTAGTGTATTTATCCATTCCTCTGTTGATGAGCACTTGGGGGTTTTCTTCTTTTTGCTACTGTGAATACGCACGAGAGTGCACATATCTATTCATGTCCCAGCTCTTATTTCTCTAGGATATGCACCTAGTAGTTGGATTGTTAGATCATATTATATCTCTGTTCTAATTTTTGAAGGACATTCCTTACCATTTTCCACAGTGGGTGTATCATTGTACAATCTCACCAGCAGTGTATAAGCGTTCCAAACTCCCTACACTCTCACTAGGATTTGCTATTTTCTGTTTTTCTTTGAACTTTGCTATTAATGCTGAGTGCAATGATATCTCATTGTTTTGAAGTGCATCTCTCTAATTGGACTCCTGGTGTAGTGCTGTAGGATAAGCACTGGATTGCTAACAATCCAGAAAGGTTGGAGGATCAGACCCACCAGACACTCCTTGGAAATCCAGTACAGCATCACTATGAGTTGGAACCTACTTGAAGGCACTTACTTAAGAGCAACTGTGAATGATCACAGCATTTTTTCATGAGTTTGTTGGCTGCCTGAATACCATCTTTGGTGAAATGTCTGTTCATGTAATCTTTTATTGTTTTATTGTGAATTATGTGATAGTTTACATGGGAGGACATTAGCTTCACATTGATCTTGTCGTATATTGTTTTCTTGCCATGGTTACAGTCCCCTCCATGCATCATCCATAAACCAAAGGGTATACCCTGCAAGGCTGACCCCCGGTCATCAGCACACAGCCCCTCTCCCTCTCTTGATCTAGAGTCCCCAGCCACTCCATTTCTCCACATCATTATCTCATCTATGCCTCCATCTCTGGAGTCACTGTTTCTCTGGGTAGGGTCCGGCACTCCACTCCTCTCCCTTGATGGTCCCAGCTATGCTAGAAGCTACTTCTGGACTGCAAAGTCAATCACTCCCCTCCTTTAGCTACAAAACGTGTACCTTTACATTTCCAACCCTCACAGTCAGTCCTAATAACAATTATTCACCAAAGTACCACAAGAGACCTATTCCCAACCCGTTTCATCAGCCCTACCCAGACAGATTGGATACTACTCAGTGGAGATTCTACCTTCCTCCATGCCCTCTGGATCTAGGCTCCCTCTTGAAAGCTTGTGAGCCAGTCACTTCTTGCCTTTGTAGCCACGCCATTTTGGGTAGCCAATGTTTAAGTTGCCCATCCCTGCCTACTCTGTATATGGAGGGGGTGGGAATGA